TGTGGAAAAATAACTTTTCAAATTACTTTGAAATTCTGTGAAAAAAAAAATCATTAGAAACTTAAGTGTTAAATTTACGTTGTATTGTATTCACGAAACGGTCGTGACACCACTAATGATCAAAGACATGATCCCACTTCCGAAAAGTTTCCACAATCACATAATTTTATCACTTAAGTTTCCTTAAATAAAACCCAAAAACTAAAACGAATTAGTTAAAATCCGAAATTCGAAAATTTAAAGTAGTCGGTGAAAAATCATTAAAAATTTCAAAACTTTGAAAACGTATACTATGAAAAACAAAACAAAAATGTGGGGTTTAGTTAGAGGGTTTGTTACAGTCAGAGGAAATAGAATTTGTACCAATCTTCACGAACATGATAGACTTGAGTTGCTGAAGCTTTTGCGCATCTGTCGAGACTTGCACATCTATCTGTATTCTAAATAACGAAACCAATCATATTCCAAATTAGTGACCAAATCGCAAAGCAAATTTCAGAACATGACAAACAATTTTCACAATTCCAATAACTAAACCGAATATACTAAAACACGAGCCTAAGAGTTCTATGTTTCACCGTACCTGATTTCAATTTGCAGGTCTTGACTTGAGCAACAAGTTTCCACCGAATATCTTAGGCTTGAGAAAGATTCAATTTTTTTTAACAAACTTACTTGATCGATCAATGAAATTTTTGTTGGACTGAATCAAGAACATAAAAGAATAAACGAGAACAGAGAGACATGCATAAATCTAATTGGTATTTTTTTCTAGGCCAAAGAATCAGAACAATAAAAAACCCATTGATGTGTGTATATATAGGAACAAAAGTAGACGTTAAGACAAAAGGAAATTCAAAAAATAGCCGTTTAAGCCTCAAATTACCGTTTGAAAAAACCACTTAACGGCTAATAAGACGTTTTATCGCATTCTTCAGCAACCCCAGCTCTTACTAAGTTACCAAATTGCCTTTGACATGACTAGTTTTTTTATATGATTGATTAGTTTCGAATTAGCCCATTTATGTGTATTACATGGCCTCTTCTAATCAAATGACTAGTCTTTGTAAAAGACATCAACATGTTACTCACACACGTCATTGACATAATCAGACAAAGTACTGAAATTTTCTTTATCATCAAAATACAAAATAGACATGGAATTAGAGAGAAGAACACATCAAAAAGCAGAGATTTTTGCTTTTTCTTTTCTTACCAAACTAACGACCATGTCCAAAGAGGAAACGTCTCCGTCCTTGTCTTCTTTACCAGACGAGGTGGCTTTGAGCTGTCTCGAGTCTCGAGAACGGACCACCTAGCCTTATCTCTAGTGTCCAAGAGATACCGTTCTTTCGTGGTTTCCTCTGAGTTATACAAGACCTGGTCGCTAATGGATCGAACCGAAGAGTACCTCTACGTCAAAGTTCTCTCCGTCTGATCTGTACCACAACTTCCATGAGCGTGGAAGATAGCTCCTAAAATCACCGTCAAAGTTCTCTCAGTCGGATGACTCGGATCCGTACCACAACTTCCATCAGCGTTGAAGAGAGCTCCTAAAATCACCGTCAAAGTTCTCTTAGTCAGATGACTCGGATCCGTACCACAACTTCCATCAGCGTGGAAGAGAGTCAAGGAACTATGAATCTCACTCTCCCGATCTTGCTAAAATCTCTTCCCGAGTCATCAAAGATCTTCATATCGTTACTGGATGATTTGTATTTGTATGATTTCAACTCTCTTGATTTCAACACTCTGTGGTATTTGAACATAATTTGTTTTTTTTTTGTTTATGCAGTGCATTGATCAAGAATTATTCTAAAGAGGAACCGGAATCAGTTAACCAATATCTCTTTCTTGTTGAGAGGGCCTATTGGTTCTACAGTGACCATCTTCTCGCTAAAGATCGCGTGCTAAAGATCATGAGCTTCAATGATTTTACTTTTGTTTTGTTCAACTTTTGCAAAGAACTACAACAGTTTATCTCATTCATTCCTGAGGTCCTCTTCGAATTTAGAGAGCATAAGAAGAGTATCCTGGTATGTGGGGCAATAATAATGTATACCACAACTTTCAACATCGACTTTAACCACATCATCATCAAGTTCCATGATAACATCGGTTGTCTATTGCCCATAATAATATAGCTTGATCTTTCTTCCTCTTATTCTTTAATTTTGAAAAAACAAATAATTGGGTAGTCAAATAAATTATTAAAAATAATTTTAAATGGTTATGAGTTACATTTTCTTATGAGTGGTAAGTGAGTAAAATCAAATCCGTTTTTTTAAAGAGTTTTCTTCTTGTTGTAAGCTGTAAAATCTATTGATTTTGTACTAGTTTTGCATCTTTGCTATAATGAAATGTCAATAGCAATTTACCAACAAAATATGATTTATTTTAATCATTCTATTCAAATAAGGTTATAAACCACTTCATGTTATATTTTAGACATAACTCATAAACGATAGGTTGATTGTGATCATTTTGATTAGAGCCATTGTAAAATACTCTTATGATCATTTTGAAACCTCCTCATGTTTAGGGTACATTGTACAGAGATGTTGATTTGATGTCTCATATTTAGTTTACGGATTTGTTATTTACTTTCATATCTCATTTTTAGTGTATGCTGCTTCAATTTCATTGGTTAGTCTAAATATGATCATTAGACCAAGAGGACGAGAGTTGAAATCAAGAGTCAACAAAAACGAGAATCATACCAATGCAAATCATCGAGTAAGGATTTGAAGAGCTTTGATGAATGAGGAAAAGATTTTAGCCGATCGAGAGAGTGAGATTCTGAGTTCCATGACTCTTCCACGATTACGGAAATTGACGTATGGATCTGACGGAGAGTTTTAGTTGGTTCTTCCACGAGTGAGAAACGACTTTGACGGTGAATGAAAACTGGCGTATGGATCTGTCAGAGAGTTTTGAGCCGAAGGTGAAGTGGCGAAAAGTGGTGAAAGGATTTGGTGAGGCCGTTAGAAAAGGCTAGAGAGGGAGAGGAAAAATGAACATGAACATGCTAAGCTGTTCTTATACCCGGTTGTAACATTGTAACC